AATGATGCATCATAATCCCCATTCTAAGTGCTTTACAATTTATATCAAGAATAATACAAAACATGAAATAATGAATAAACGAATGACATAATTAATATGAAATGCAATGGATTTTTGGGGATTGTTAAACAAAATTGAAATCAAGAAAATTAAAACCAAATACCAATTAAGACTATCTAATCAAAATTAAAGTCAAATTAGGGATTTTTTGCTTGACCCTTAAAAAGTTTTTTCCAATGGAGTTGTCAATCTGTTGTAATGGTTTTTTGGGAATGCTAGATAAATTTTAAAAAACTCAAAAGAAGGGGAGTCACCACCAATCTATTTTGCTAGGTGTGATGATTATCCACCTAAAAAGTTTATAAATTTTAAATTAATTAAAACCTATTAAAATGATGATTGTTGGTCTACTAAAATCAAAGTTAGATTTGAAAGTATGGTTATGCGTAAAGAAAAATTAGCAACCCATAACACCAGTTTTTAAAAATGGTACAAATTAATCATGTGTTATCCTTTAAATTTTGACAAAAAGCTCCCTAGTTCGATATTTAAAAATAATTTCCATAATTTCTCTTATTGCAACAAAAAAAAAAAACATCTTTCTGTTTTTTAGTCGTTTGCTTGAGAAATAAATAGGAACCTTACAAATTGAAAATTTTCTAAAAATATTCTAATACTTTGACAATATTAAAAAGAGCTTTTTCACTTAAAGATTTCTTAAGAATCATTACTCAGACATCCCAAGAGCCCCATTTTCGGTGGTTGCTAGTTATTTTCAAAATCAATAATTAAAAATGCATATAATAAATACTTATGATTTATCTTAACTGTATGTTTTCTTTTCATGAAAATGTTTCTTATTATTTTTATTAAAAAAAGTGAGAATCTTTATTGAAAATTATTCTAAATGCTTTAGTACATTAGTGGCATTTTAGATAAATTTTCTCACCTAGAGATTCCTAAGGAATCACTACTTGAACTTTTATAGGATCCTATCTTCGGAGATTTCGTTTACTTTCATAGTTGCTATGTATGAATGAAATATGATGCACATAGATTAATTTGTAACACTATTACATTGCATGAAAGTTCATTTTTAGTAATGAAAAGTAAATGAGAATTCTTGGTATTAAAAATCATTTCAAATACTCCACTACTTTTGCAATATTTTTAAAAAAATTTTCTCACCTAGAGATTTCTTAAGAATCATTACTCGAACTTCTTAAGAATCTTATCATTGGAAAACCGTGTTACTTTCAAGATTATGAAATGTGAATGATAAGTGTGATATGCATGTGAAATTTTGTTTGTTTTTTGTTTGTTTCTTTTTCTTACTCATTTTCCCTATGTTATAACTTTTTTAATTACCTATTTTCTTTTATTTTAATCACTTAATTGTTTCTTTATTAATATATATATATATACACTTTTAAAAAAAGAGTAAAATATAGAAAATCTTTTTATTGAAAACTTCTTCTAGATACCTCAATACTTTGGTGACATTTTAAAAAGATTTTCTCACATAAGAATTTCTTAAGAATCTCTACTCAAATTTTTCTAAAATCCCATAATTCAATATTTCCATTTTTATTTCCTCCCTTTTTATTTTTATTTTATTTCATTTTACTTTAATTAATTAATTAATAATTATTATGATTATTTTAAACAAAAAAATTGATCATCACAAGTAATATTCATGTATCATTATACCACTTTCATTATTAAATGAGTCACTTTTCCTTTTCATTATTTTCCTTTTTTTTATATATCATCATTGAGTCATAAATATATTTTTTAGGAAAATAAATGAGTGAAAAATATTTTGTATTGAATACTTTCATAAATACTCTATTATTTTGATATATATATTTTTTTAAAATATTCTCATTTAGAGATTTTAAGGAGTTACCACTTGGACTTTCTTAAAATCTCTTCTTTGGAGATTTTTGTTGTTATTATTATTTTATCATTATTTATTATTATTACTATTCCACTTAAAAGTTATATAATAATACAATTTTCAATAAATTTATCCAGTCAAAGAAAGCATTTTTTATAAATATTTATATTTTTTTTCTTTTAAGAAAACTATTCTAATTAAGGAAAAATGAGAATCTTCATATTAAAAAGAGTTTTTAATTATTCCAATGCTTTGGTAAATTTTAGAAAATATTTCTCACCTAAAGAGTTTTCGAGAATCATTATATGGATTTTTCAAAGTTTTATCATTAGAGATTTCCATTTTTAAAATTATTGTATGAAATACAGATGATGAAATATGGTTAAAGATGACATATGCATACTAATTAGAATGCTAATGCATGTATTAAGTTACTAAATAATCAAGAGGAAACGTAAGCAAAAATGATCATATAATGAGTATCATGGTAACAACAACAACAACAACAATAATAAGAATAATAATGTAAGAGGCTATTTAAACATTCATAAAAAACCTAAGGCTATTAAAAAAAATTCAATTCTTAATAGACATTTCTATTAACTTATTTATTACTACTATTATTTTTTAGCCTGCCAATCAAGCTTATTACAACAGTCACGTGCCCAGAAAAATGCAAAGCCAAACCCATCCCCACTTTTTCCATACTAAAGTTCTCTTGTCTTTTATGTTTGTTATATCTCTATTCTATCTAAAGCTAAAAACATAAAAAAGGGAAAATGTATTAGACTGCTTACAAGCAGAGCATGTACCAAACCTAAAACATCAAATATGGACAAAAGGTCTTAAGTTTTCTCATTTCCTAAAACCATGTAAACACCATATGACATGGATGAGGTACCTAGTTCTTAGTTGTATGATACACTACTCATATCCCTAATAGCCCACATGCAAACGAGCATGAAGGGATGAGGTTTTGAAATTCCCACGCAGACCCGACGCAAAAGGAAGGAATGGACACTAAAAAATGCACAAAACAAGGTGAACCTGGAAGCTTGAATAATAACCCCACACATGCTAGATGCAGTAAACATGAAAAGCTTGAAATTTTGAGCTTGAACAGAGTAAACATTATAGTAAAAAAAGCAAGAAATAAAGAAAGCTTTAAGCCTCCATACGTAGGCCACAATAGTCTGCCTAAAAAAGGGTTAGTACATAGGACAAGATGAAGCTTTAATATTCCCATATAGACCTCATGCAGACAACTAGAAAGATAGGTAACTGAATATAACCCTACAAAGTTTGAAGCTTTAAGCTTTCACATCAGGACCACACATAAAGAAAGAGGCTAACAAACATGAAATCATAAAAGGAATACAAGCTTTTATTTAAAATATGCCTTTGAGTTCTCTTCTCTTTTATGTTGTTCTTTACCCGAAGCCCTCTTTAGTTGTTTTAGGTTTGCTCCTAAAAAAACTCTTCTTCTTTTTTTTTATGGTTTTTTCAAAATCTTTCTAAAACTAAAAACTCCTTTTCTGTTATTTTGGTTTCTCTTAAAACCCTTTTTACTTTCTATTTCAAGCTACTCGAAACTTTTTCCTTTTTTTTTTCTGGTTTTTTCTTCTGTTCTCTCGCTTCTTTTAGTTCTCCTCCCTAAAACCTTCCTTTAAACTCTCATTTAGAAAGCTTTTATATTGCTCGAAGGTCCCTCATCTTCCTTCCTCCCCAAGTTTTTCTGTTTTCATTTGCTTCACTCCACTCCCACTTACAGAGCATATATTTTCGTTTTGTTCCATTGTAGGTTTTTTGCTTTGTCCTTTTTACTGCAAACTAGGTCATTTCTAACTGGTTGTCCCCTGATACATGCAAGCTTCACGTGAAGAAAATGGGCTTCCTCCCTTTTAATTTTCACGACTACTTCGGCCTTATCTCGTTTGGCTCCTCTCCTTCATCCTCTTTTTTTTTTTTTTTGTAGTTCACATGCCTCATGAAAAGTAGATCATCCATTCCCGAATGGGCTTGCTCCTCCCTCATTTTTTTCCTTTTTCTTTTTAGGCTTTCCTTATTTCATTTTGGGCTAACTTTTGTAGTCATGTTTAATGGCTCTTTTGGGCCTTTGTTTTTGGGCTATTGTGGGCCATCTTTTCTTTTTTCATTGTTTGAGTCAAAATTTTGGAGCATTTTATGTCTCATATTGGGCTTTGCGTGGCCTCTAAAGTAAGTCCTGAGCTTCAAATGAGCTGATTTTTGGGTCATTTTTAATAGTCAATTTAGGTCTTGAATGGACTTTCCTTCTTTTTCATTTTGGGTCAAAAAATGAATCATTTAATGGGATCTTTAAAGTGAACCATGTAATAGGTTCAAAAAATAATGATTTCAACTTGCATGCAACAACGAACCTGGATCAATGGCGTCAAATTATTTGGAACAAATAGGTATCTACAATGCCTATGATATAAACATTTGGCTTGTGTATTTAGGCATTCATAAAGTTCCTAGCAACAACCAGTATGGTACTAGTGCTATATTAAGATACTCAAATGGAATAACTATTGCATTTTGCAAGAGCATTGAAGCTTCCTCCAAATGTCATGCAAAGATTTTCCTCTTTAAGATAGATTCTAAGTAAAGGTCTACAAGCAAAAAGAAAATTATAATTCAACGTCGCATAAAGGCACACTGGAGTGTACAACTGGCGCTTGATGATATCCATATAATGGTAGCAAATGGTATGCATTTTACATTCACCACAGAATGGCACCTGCTAGCCAGAGAAGTGCACGCAATGGCGAGAGGCACAACACTGATCAAGACATCATTCAGCTACCCCCAACCTCTCATTTTAATCCTTATTTTTAATCTGCTTAAACATATTCTTGCCTCTACCAAAAAAAAAGGTCGTTTATTACCCGGTCCTTAATTTGATGGCTGATGAGCAAATTTAGGAGCACCATTAATAAATTCAAACGAGGAGCTTTCATTTTATTTAAAACATAGATCTATCAACTACATATGAAATAATAAAAGAAAAAAAAAATAAAGAAAATAAAAAAAAACCTGACAAATTAACACATAAACAAAAACGAAAGCCACAAATTAATTCATAACTTGTGGCATTGTGTTTGGAGGAACGATAAAGTTTCCTTCTTAAGATTATAAAGAACAAACATATTCTGCTGTTGAACGTTGCCAAAGATTGACATGCCACTAGAACTTCCCATTGCCAAGCAAATCACTCCCGAAGTTGAGTCAGCAATCATATAATTTTCCCCTGGTAAATCCAAATCTGCTCCATCGAAATGGAATACCAATTTGGGTACATTTACTTGTGTCGAACCTGAAGGCAAGCTGAAGCAAAGCTCAAGCCCTGTTGAACCCGTATTGTCCACGGAAAGCTTCATTTGTGAGATGAATTCTTTTTTGACCTCGTCAAAAGCACTTTGTTCTAGATACGTAATGGTTGTGCCAGAGTCTATAATTAAGCCACCGGTGCCATCATCTTCGAGTGCAAAAGTGGATTTCTTAACAGGTAAGCGAGTACCTCCCACAGAAATCCCTTCGAGTGAAAGATAGTAAAAAGATGGCTGTGATGGGTTACGTATCAATGGGGTGGTCTTGATTGCGCCTATTGTGCTATTCACACTTGCTATAGACCCCATCAAAAGTGTGCTTGTTTGGGTCTCATCAATGGATGTTAGGCAATAAGAAAACTTGGGTTCTTTCAGCTGCGAGACTAGAGATAGGGGTCCACGCCCAAGTCCCACCAGGCCTGCACCTTGTGAAAATCCATCTCCCTCGTTGTCTTCTCCACATCCGAATCCAATATTTGGAACAGATACCTTGCCAAATGTGAATGTTTCGGTTCCCATGACCCCTTGCGTGGAGGAATAATCACCGTAGCTATAGAGATACTCGCATCCATCATCGCATGTTGATTGCGGAAGTGCTGCGCATAGGTCGCTCGAGCATGACAACTTGGAGAATGTCGAAGATTTTTTCGGGTCGAAGATCGGAGTAGATTGAGTAAAACATTGACTGCAAGGCTTGCATTGAGTCCATATCAAATCACTTCCCGTGTCCACGATTGCAGAGTAACTCTCTGGTGGCGTCCCAATGGATAACTCCATTAGAAACTCGCCATTCCCTGCAACAACAGGCGCTTGAACTTCTGCTGAATTGGTACTTGCTGCCAAAACGATAGCATTCAACCTCTGCAGCCTGTGATGCCCGCGCTGTATCCCTCGCTGGATCCGCTCCCATTTGGTTAAATTCTTGCCTGAATCAACATGCTTGAGCGTGACCTTGAACCCATTTTGGAGCTTATTCCGTTGCTTTAATGCTCGCCTCGACGTGGAAACTGCAGGTGAAACATATAATGCAACTATTGCTAGTGCTAAAAACGAGACACAACACAAAGAATATAGTGAAGCCATGTAAATCTAAATTGGAGAAAGAGGTGACGAGTGAATATGAGAGAGAAAAGGAGGTTGGTGAGATGGAGCAATTATAAAGGAATTGGGGGTGGAAATGGTCTTACATAACAGTAACACAGTAAAGGAATGTAACATGAGAAACAAAAATGGAGGAGTAGATGTAGGGAAATAGAAAAAGACTAGGAAGGAGCTTAGAATAGAAGATGTAGCTAAAGTGAGAAGTAAGGCATGCCAACTTGTATGGAGGTTGAGATATCACCGCAACTATGAATCTACTGGCCACGACTTTTCGTGGTTGTTGGGGATATTTGGGATCCAAAACAAACATATGTGTAGCAACAATTTTGTGATAAGGAATTGTAAGCACATTCGCTTTGCTTAAAGTCATTTGAGGAGTTAGGTTAACAATCTCATATTGGATTGTAGTAAAACTAATCATTGGTTGACAGACCAATCTGACAATAATCATGATTGTAATTATTAATATATCTTAATAATAGATTAGATTTATTCCATCTATTTTATTAATTTATAATTTCACACACACACACACACACACATATATATATATATACATATAACAAGCCTCATTTTTTTTACACACATGAAACTTTTTCGTTTTTATTTACGCAGAGATTCTATAACCCTCCCCTAAACTCAATATTTCTCCAAAAAAATATCTAATCTTAATGGTTGCAATGGATTTGGTTAGCATTGTTGTTAATTTCATTTCGGTATTAGTTGTATCGATCAATATATTCTAGTTATATTAAAATATGATACACTTAAAGTAATTTTTCATATCTAACTTGATATTAGATAATATTAGTTATTTTCGTTTGTTTCTAGTGGTTTTGGTGAATTTGGAATAGCTTTTTCGATTGGTTTGTGAATATAAAATATATTTTTATAATTTTTAAGTTATTTTTTATTGTTTGACTATTTTTAACCTAATAAAAATAAAACTAATGAATACAATTACCTTTAAAAGTTGGGTTTCTTTTTTTTATTTTTTATTGCAACTTGTTTTTTTTACACTTTATATTTTCAAACCAAAATTCATAAGTATTTCAATCTCTTTAAAGAAAATAATTGTGTTTCCTTTTTAAAGTTTAAAAATCCTAAGCTAAAATTGATTTCTTTTTCATCTCTTTATTTTTATCTTAATAAATTTTTACATGAAATAAAAAATATTTATTTAAATATCATACAATCAGATTAAGTGCTTAAAAATATCATGATAAATTAATGATATTTTTTGTTTAATTTGTTTTAAAGATATTATATATTTATTTTATATATTATTAGTAGTATTATTATGTACAAATCTATGCATATTTATAAATATATTTGTATTAAATTAAAAAATCTAAAATAATATATCAAAACAATTGGTATAGACATGTACTATTTAAAAAAAAAAGCCAAAATATTATGCGATACAATATTAACAACTTTGCTAGCTAGTGTATCACATCGGAAAATATTGAATTTTAAAAAATAGTCAACCCTCCTTTGACGGAGTACCTTATGTTCTAGTGGCCAGAGATGGATAGACCAGAAATTGCTCTTCATATTTTAAGTTTTATGATGTTGCGATATATATTGAGAATTTTAGGGGTTTCTATCGTTGGTGTGGTTGGTGGGCTAACATATTACTAATTAGATATTGGTGGAACAAAGTTGGTTCCATGGTCCTACTATAGTTAGATGAGAGAAAATCGCTACTTCTATTCACCCTTTTTTTTTTTTTTTTGCAATTTTTAATCTATTAACATTGATGGAAAAAAAAAAAAAATCTATTTGGTTCTACGATCCTACTATAGTTAGACGAGAGAAAATTGCTACTTCTATTCACTTTTTTTTCCTTTCGCAATTTTTAATCTATTAACATTGATGGCAAAAAATTTATATTCTTAACACCCAATCCTCAGTAACAATCAATAATTTTTAAGAGATGTCCACTTATAATATATAAATAAATTGTTTACAGATTTATTAATTTTATTGACAAGAATAATGTCTAGAGAAATTTTTTCTTCAAAATTTTTTTATTTTCTAATTTTTGAATATTCATGAGAAAATTTTGAATATAGTCAGTGGAAAATTTTTCTTCAAAATTCTTTTAAAATTTTTGGAAATGTTTATAAACACTTTCCTTCACAAGGTAGATCCACTACTGTGGATTCTTATTGTTTAAAATTTGCTAATTTTGCATGTTCAGTAGGGAAAAATGCAAAATTAGTAGATCAATATAATCAATTCAACGAGGTAAAAAGACTTGAATCCAACTGGACTACAAAACTTGAGAGTCCTTGCTCGATTTTAACTAAAAAATTTGAGACTAGTTTGAATTTGAACTTGAATGCATTAAATATACTGGATTACTTGTAAGCGTGTTTACAAGCGTGTTTACAATGCATGTTTAAATATACAATGCATGTCAATTTAACCAAATGTGCATGTTTACTTATAATTGAATGTGGGTTTTTCCTTGTATAAATCAATAACTAGAGATTTTATACAAAATTTATATTATAAGTTCTCCGACGACAAGTGTAGAAGATAATAATCTTTAATTATGTACTTTAAAAATTCATAGTATATATAAACTTCAATTGGTCTCTCATATTCATCTCTTATAAATATTTTATAGTCAGATTAAATTTCACTGTAAGAAAGTGGATATTTTAATAATAATTACAGACGTTACAAAATACTATTTTATCGTTACTATATTTTTTTAAAATTAAATATTTGTCATTACAAGATCGTTACTATTAACCCCATTGATAAAGAATTAATACAACAAATTATATTGTTGTTGAATATATATATATATATATATATATATATATATTGTAATGACTTTTTGTTGTTGCCATATAAATCATGCTTTCACAACTATAAAATATCATTGTGTAAATTTTATTTTAGCAATAATTGATTTTGGTTAAAAAATTTTTAATTAACATTATTATGTTGGTTGCAAAAGTTTTTGCGTAACAATATTAATTTGATTACCAAAATTTTTATGCAAAAACATTATTATAGTTGCTAAAAATATTTTGTAATGATAAAATGACAGTGTATAAACCTCATTTTAGTAACCATAAAACTTGGTTACAAAAACTCTTACATTATAATATTATTTTGGTTACATATCATATTTCATAATGATTAAATATCGTTGTTTTAACTTTATTTTAGCAACATTATATTTCGATTACAAAAACTTTTTACGTAACAATATTATTTTGGTTGTCTTATAATATTTTGCAACATAATTTTATTTAGTTGCAAACTACCTTAAGCATTACTATTTTTATCATTACGATAAATAATTCTAACAACGACTATAATCATTGAAAAATATTTTATTTATCAACTATTGTCGTTGGAAAATTTATTTCCATAATGATTTGTTTAATTTTAACAGCAATTTTTACCATCACAAAATTTTTAACACAACCAATTTTATTGTAACTAATTACAAAATCATTTCATTTATTATTTTATTTGTAAATATAATAAAAAAATGTTTCAAATATATAAACTAATATTTTGTTCTATATTGTAGTAAATACTAATCGTAACATTTTATTTAAATATAATAGTTAATCAAAAAATAAGTAAAATTAATATTAACATAAAAATAATATATTTTGTCATGAATTACATTACATTTTTCTTAAAACAGATACAACAATTATAATTTCTTAAACCGAGAGTATTATACAGAAATAAAATTTACGAAGCAATTGCCTAACACTTAAATGATAACTACAACTTTAGTTTTTTTTTTAAAAGGTATAAACAAGTAATTTTTCCAATTATGCAAACATGTGATTCAAAATTAATTCATCCCCAATTTATCTCATCCTTTTTATCAATATTCTGCACCAAAATGATAACAGCATGAATAAGATACCAATATTTTGGATTCTAAATGTTAAAGGTAGAAACCTGCCAACATCATCTCCAAATTATTTTAATGTCTAAATAAAATAAAATAAAATAAAAAACAACATAATGGCAAGTAGATATCAGGAAAAAGAAAATGTGACAACAATCAGGATACGCATTATAAGCAATTAAAATTTTTTTTAAAAGAATACCTTCACAATTTGTGTGATGAATATTACAAATATGTCACTAAAACCCTCAAGCAACATAATATGTAAATCAATGTAACAAGTAAAAGTAAGGCTGCTAGGAAAATAACTTTCATGTTATTCACATAGTGTAATTTCTACAGCACACATACGCATCTTAATTTTAAGGATCATAATAAACTACAGCATAAGTGCCCATTATGAGTACCTAGTTAGTGAAAGACATGTCTTATAAAGGAAAAAGAGAAAGGGTTTAGGGACTTGGGGTTTTATTTTATATATGCTAGAGTAGTAGAGTGAAGCACATGCTTCACTGTGGATTTTAATTTTTATATTATTTTTTAATTTATTATTATTAAGAATAAATATTGTAAAAAAATTTATAAAATCTATGTGATATTTAAAGGAAATTTTGTAAGCTATCAATTGATAAATAAAATACTTAACTTTTAAAGTATTTGAAGTACTAAAGGTACACTGAAAAAAATCATTATTACTTTATAATTCTAGGGGATATGATGTTTGATATTTCTACAAATTTGAATAGAAAAGATGTTATTTCCTGTTAGCATTTGTTATGAAATTTATGGCATGTTGCATTTTCTGCTTCACACAACTAATAACACAACCAAGTAAATATGGAAAACCTTAAGGTCATTGTGCAAGGCATGGCTTAGAAGAACCCTTCCCTTGATCAACTTTGTTACTTTCTTCCAAACAGCCCAAAAATCATTTGTTGTAGAAATAGAAAAAATACCCAAAAAATGCATGATTTAGTTTTTATCAAGAATAACTATATATTTTATATTAAAATTGATACCTTATTTTTTGATACTTTCATTTTATCGTCCAACACTTCAAAGATAGCATTTTAGTCATTTGTTTATTTTTAATCCATCATGATTTTTTCTTTTACCATTTACTTTTACATGTTTAGCAACAATTTTAATAGACAAATAGAAGTAAAAATCAAATGGAAGTTCATAACATGGTTGATCAATAGTTTTAACTACCTTAAGAAGTCGAAAAGCCATTACATGAGGTCAGTGACGAAAGTAATCAACTACGTCTTCTGCGTCACAAGCTTATGGGAGTCGCTTTGACCACTCTTTCAATTGGTAGTAGAAGTAACTAACATAAGCTTCCAATGCTTTGAGATCAACCATCATCAAATCTGTTTGTGCCGAGCTCCGAGATAAAGGGTAAAACCTTGA